GTAGGACTGCTCACAGGATCCCAAAAGGTTGAGAAACCACAGAAATCATTCTCAGATTTAGAAAATTGATAGAATTTCTCAACGGCGTATGCTCTCAGAGGATTCTTAAGGGTTGCTAAATTGAAATTCTTGCCTGGTACCTTTTTACTACAGGTTTTCTGTCCTGAAATAGTTTTCAGAGGAGAGGTCAGGTTAGAGTCACAAGCTTCTTCACATTTCTTGCCATCACAGCTGTTGCATCCTGTGTGAGACCTGATATGATGATCATATGATGCGTGATCCACGAAGACTCTCCCACACTCACACCATTGAAATGGATCTCCTTCAGGAAAACTTCGTGTCTGGTTGGAGGAATTTCCACACTGACTGCCTTCGTTACTTTCACAGTGTTTCTGACCATTCAGAGCACTGTTTAAAAAAAAGCAATCTGCTATTGGCATTGTGTTACTTCTTCAAAATTACCAAACACAGTGAACTTGCATGGTTTCCAGATTAAAATATTTTGTTTCATAAGAAAAATCTCATTTTCTATTATGTGTTTTTGCTAATCCAGCCAAAATGAAATATGTTTTCAAAACCACTCCCATTTTGGAAATGCTATATAATGAAAATATATAAACACGTCAGAGCTAAGTGTATACACATGAACATATGTTGACATATATCAGGCTATGAATCGGTTCTCAACTATTAAGCGTTTTTCTTTGCTAGATTAAAGACAGCACTGGGAAGACTTACATTCATTAAAGGAGGTGCAGACGCTGACCAGTTTTGTGTGAGACACTGCTCACGGTTTCTTCTGGGGTCAGATCTGATGCTAACATGTTGGGTTCTATGGAATGTCTATGGTGCCCTTCTCTACGTGACTAATTCCTGTACCATTACACAGAGAGTCGAGGGCTGCTCTATGATATGACTACACTGAAGACCATACTTCAATGTCATGATCATGATACTTTGGAAGACCATTTCCTCAGGCACTGCTGGCTTCTTAGAATGAAACACACTCACCTCAAATTTAGCCCCTGCTTTACATGCGGATCTTTACTGATGTGAGATTCGGAGGATTCAACTAAAATGGAAGACCAGATGTCATTCTTCATAAACTGTAGCAATATATGTTCAGTAGATAATATTTTCCCTCCATTAAGGTTTGGAAAAACTGAGTAATTCACTATATAAAACAAAAGGAAGGGAATTATGAGGAGAGACTTGCCGTGAGCAAACAAAAGTATAGCTTTAGTCACTACTGAAGCACGTTAGCAACAGACCTAAAGCTTATTTTCTAGGAAATACTTCTGTGAGGGTTGGGAGGGATGGTGATGGAAAGAGGTGCTACCAGGTGTGGGATTATAAAGTGAATTTTCCCAACTCTGTCTCCCACAAAGATATGTCAAACATTAGAAGCTATTTGCCAGCACTTGGTGGGAGGTCAGATGTATTCAGCCTTCAGAATGTCAGACTCCCCGCTGTTAAGGACAATGGGCTAATTCTCCCTAAAAGCTTGTGGCCCTCAGTCTGGTCCTTGTGGGCGGGGTTCACACCCTACTGACAATGGTTTCTATGGAAATCCAGAGAACAGGTCAAACCTGCTCATCCAAAGTTAGGCTGCCATCCTGAATTTAGCATCCGCCCATCTTGTCACGTGTGTCCCCAATTGCTCCCCTTCCAATTGCGCGTATATCCCTAGATTGTCCGCCTCTCAATGCTGTATAACCTATAGTGCAACCCCTTCCTGTGATGTATGTCTTTACGTGTAATTAGGGGTTATGCACACCCCCAAAGATATATAAGCCTTGGCTTGCAATAAAGAGCTCTCTCTCCCTCACCTCCCTCGTCCTGGTGCTCTCCCCCATCCTCACTCCCCTGTTCCCTTTCCCCTTGTCCTGCTTCCCTCCCCCCCTCCTGCCCTTTGGTGTCCCATCTCCACATGGACCACCGAGCGGGGCTGAGGTGTGCATGCTATCATGAAATGTGTCTGACTCTATTTCAATCTCTCTTCTATTGCTCACGCTCTTTGACTTTATTATAATCTTTATCTATCTCAGCTGTACAACTGTACCTATCGAACCCACGAT